ATTTTTGACAAACAATAAGGACCAAATCTGTAGTTTATTCTATATGTTAACAAAACAATCATATCAATCCTAATAAACAAATGGATAATTATTGTAACATATTAAGCATGTTTTTAAATAACTCGTTATGGTATCAAAGCTTTGATTTGCAGCCACGTTAATTTCTGTGGCTCCACTTTAAGATTTGACTTCTTTTGTAACGTGTTTCGGCGTGTTACGACGCATTAGTTTATAAGGCGTGTATTTTTTATTAATTTTTTAAACATATAACTTGAAGGATAAATGATAATTATGTATGACACGTAAGACTTAAATAAACATTAAAAAGAAACATACAAACTAAAACCTTAAATACGGTAAATTTTTAGGGGCTGTTTGGCAGTTGCTGAATGATTTGGTGCAAAATGATTAAGAGGTTCTCATGATATAGTGAAAAATGAAAAATAATTGTTTGGTAATTGTTTATAATGAAATTAGGGCGCTTAATGGTTAAAGGAACCCATCAGACAAAACCATTTAGAGGATTTTAGAAACCATTAAGAGGCATATTTTTTTTGTCAAACAAGATTCACCTCTTAATGAAACTATTAAAAGATAAACAAGCAACCCTTACTCTTGTTTCCATGCACGGAGAATCGAACAAAAATTATTTGAAGATTGAAGAAAATAGTTAGTAAAGACCGAAGAGATTTAATGTTGATTTTGCACTTTTGATATCATTTTCTTATAATTTTGATGTATTTGATATAAATGGTTCTTCTTTTCTTTTGAGTTCTGTATTTTGTATGAATTTAAATTGTTTTATGTATGCATATGCCGCTCTAAGGTAGCCCTTGAAGAAAGTCGTGTCGTCGTCGTAACTCGTAAGATTTGACATCGCCGCCATGTCTGCCTCATATTATTTAGAGGGTGTTTGGGATTGCTTATAAAAACAACTTATTGACTTATTCTGGTGTGACATCGGTAATAAGCATTTTTGAGTGTTTGGATAAATAACTTATATCGGTGCCAAACCGGAATAAGAAGCTTTTAATAAGTTAAATTATTTTAACTTATAACAAGTTGATATAGACTTTTGTATAAAAGCATAAATTATTTCAAATAAGCAATCCCAAACACCCTCTTAGAACCTTCATATTAAGTGTTATAAAAAATTAGCTACTTATATTTTAATATTTATCCAACATATTTAAAGGTTTGTTTCTTTTAATCTCAATCTGTAATGTTTGTGTTGGATTATCATTTGTCGGTTGTTATTTAACTTTAGAAATATACTGATTATTATTTTATTACCTTTTATTAAAAAAATATTATTAGTAGATGAATGGGATTATTTATCTGATTATCAAATTAAGTATCCAAAATAACAACTGGGTTTTATTTTTTAGGTTTCTAAAATAACAGGTATACATAAACGAGATCTTACATGTTTATCTTTATATGGTTTACGTACAACGGTTTCAATATATAACGAAACAAGTTTTAAGAATTTTAATCGATACAAGTAATCAGTTAAAAATGAATATAGACATTTATGCAGATACATCCCCTAAGAAACCTTTCGCTATCAAATGTGGTATCTTTCACGAAAATCACTTTTTCCATTTCTAGTTCGCCATCGAATTCGTCTCAACTTTTTATATTAAAAAAATAAGATTAACTAAATAAATAAATAAATGTGGTTAATTGTTTTAAATTGTCAGCTCTACAAATCAGTAAAATTCTTTAAATAAAACACAAAATCATTGTTAAAATGTTAAATAAAATATCGTTCAGTTAAAAACCAATTCAATAGCTTATATGAACACAAGAAGATATGAACTCATTAGCAACAAAGTCAACCTTTGTTCGTTGAGTTTTCGAAACTTTGACTTGTTTTTTGATCAGACATTAAATACATAGTTTATTATTTATAAAAGCCAAATTAAATAGAATTAATCATAAATTTGTCGATCCTTATTTTCATTTCATTTAACAAACATGCCATAAGAGTCAATTAATGTGGATATTGCAGGCTAACTGTACCAGATATTGTCCGTTTTATCCACACTTGGACTCATGGTTTTAAAACGTCTCTAATATATATGAGGCAACTTTTGTTCCTTTTCCTAACATCTAGGCTAACCATACTAGATAATGTTGGCTTTGTCCATATAACTGGAGTTACGTTCTAGGACGAGTTTAATAGATGAGGTGTCATGTTCCTTCTAAGATAACATTTGTTCCCCTCCCTCACCAATGTGTGATCTTACGATCCATCCCCTTGGGAGCAGTGTTCAAGCTGGCACACTAGTCTGGTTCTTGACTCTATATTATATGTAACGTCCGAGGTAATTGTATCAGATCTTGTTTACTTTGTCCACACACCTGGATTCACGGTCTTAAAACGTGTTTGATGGAGGAGGTGTCTACTTCTTTACAATGTAACATGTGTTACACTCCCCGACCAATGTAGAATCTTACAATCCACCCATTTGGGAGCCTAAGGTCCTCGCTGGTACACCATTTCAGTTTCCGGCTCTGATACCATCTGTAACATTCTAGGCTTACCGTACCAGATATTGTCCACACACCTAGACTCGTGGTTTTAAAACACGTTTGATAGAAGAAGTGTCCAGATTCTTATCAAGTAACCTTTGTTCAGAAAGAAGAGAGAGAGAGAGAGAGTATTGAGAAATCTCCGAACTTGAAAAAATAATATAAAACATATTTGTTAGAAACACTCCTAATAATTGTTCATATAATTAATACCCCATCCCAATTTATTATCTGCCTTGTTAATTTCTCCTAATTCACCATTTGTTGTAGTCGATTTGATAAAAATATGAGAAATAGTATACTAGATACGATTATAACTATATAAATCTTGATTGTTAAATAAATTATATCATAACAGTTTAATAATAATTTATCTGTTACATTTCCAAGATTTCTGACGTAACAACTTTCTTTTCGCCAATATGCACTATGATATAGAAAACGATCCTTTATTAAAAAAAAATACTGCAGAAGAGTGATTCAGTTTTCTTCATAACCAAATTAATCTATCTTTGCTATATCATAAAACATTCAACTCCCCTTCTCAAAATCTCTTAAAATTCATGTTTATAACCTGTTATTGTATACATACAACTATTTAAACTCCATAAACCTGTAATAATCAACTGATAAACACGTTCATGATATAAATGGAAGACAACCGTTGAATACTACTAACATTATACATTCAACTGATAACCAATCGAACAATCTTTCGCCCTCTCAAAACCATCCAAAACCACATTCCATAAAATAAAATTCAGAGAGACTGAAAATGAAACGAATTACGAATCAAGATTGACGATTCAAATATATGGTTTCTAAATCGAGCAGTAAGCTTATAACAGGTATACGGCTGACGCATTCATCGTTTTTATCAAATTCGATCTCTAAAATATACAACTTGCAAATCCTAAAAGTAACTATAGATTATTTAATTAATCAAAATAATCTCGAGAATTATATTTCGAGCCCATAAAACCAATCATCAAGCATAAGATGACAAACCACATGTGCCAAATTTAACCACATTCATCATTCATTAATTTAAAACCATTATTATTTCCAAATAGATATTGACGTATTTATAAACCATAATATAAATATTATGTAGAATGTGAATATTGTTTTAATATATACAATAATGACAAAATTGATTAAACTTATATTATATAATTAAAATCTGGTAAAAATATCAATAAGAGTCACCACTCTCGATCATCTTATTGGATAAGATTCTGGTCATCAAAATGAATTGGTGGTAAACGTTTTATGTCCAGTAATCGATTACCGTCAAGTGCCTTTTTTTCTCATTTAGCAGTTAAGATTTTTGGTCTTTGCAATACCTTTTACCAGGTAAGATAATTGATCTTTTTCTTGTAACCATGGTTTTTCAGGCAGCTTACATGCACTGATTAATTTCTCGGGACCAAGAATAGGGTCTTAATTTCCCCATCGACCTTTACAATATTGAATTTTTTTTTCTTGAGTTATCACATTTGAACCTCCATAGTCACAAGGGTGTGCCAAACACTCGAATTCAAACCCTGGGTAGATGAGATTTTCCACTATACCCTTAAGACTTAACCGATATGCCGTATTCCAAATGTTTAGATTATCCATCTTTATTATGTTCACCCGATAAAATAAATGATACTCTATAAATATTTAGTAAATGACCCTTTATCTATGTTATCTTATAAACCAGATTTATCAAAAGTCTTAAAAATAATTTTTAATGGACAAAGTACTATACATTTATGTACAAAGTCTTAAAAACAACTTACAATATATCAAGTACTACTACTTTATGCATTCATTAAAATCTCTTAATCTACAATTAAAATAACATATAGTACAAGTTACCAATGCACATTATTATCTTTTCTTTTCATGTTCCCAAAATACTTTTGACACGTTTTACTCATGTTTTCACCCTCTCAAACTTCTATGTCTTCTCCCACCCCCAATGTGAAATTCAAACTGATATTCACCATGAGTTATTAAAAGTTCTCTCATTTATCTCTCATTCAATTGCTCTAGAACTATCGGTCTCGCTCTCTTGATTCTTTACTTTTGGTGTAAATCGAACACATCTGTGGAGTCGTTTAAATATGTTGGATTTTGAATATATTGGATTTTAAATTGTCATACAAATTTTTTCATTGATAGACTATAATTGGAATCATAACTCTTATTTATTGAAATTGTATCAACATGTAAAGACTAAGTGTAACTTATATCATCATTAAATCTTCTCTAATAAAACCAGTAATACTTTAAAATCGTTAAAATTCACGGCTTCGATCGCATTGCACAGATAAACAATAGTGTGGTGATGAATTATTTTGGAATAGAAAAATATTGTATTTTTTGTAGGGGAGGGTGTGATGGTGTGTGTCGGCCAGGCTTGATGTTATCGGTATTAAGACCAAACGTAAGGGGCGTGCCGACTCGACAACAATCGCTTAGCATCCAATACACACTTGTCATTCTCCCAAATGCGTGATCTCCTTCGACTCTTCTCCTTCCATAAATACATAATCATTCTTCCCCAAATTCACTTTCACCAATCATGGAATCCCCCGCCACCGCCGCCGCTGCACCATGTTCGTCTAACACAAAGGAAGAGATCATTCACCACACTCAGAACGCTAAAACCTATAGAGGAATCAGGATGAGGAAGTGGGGAAAGTGGGTCGCTGAGATTCGTGAACCCAACAAACGTTCACGTATCTGGCTTGGTTCTTACTCTTCTCCCGTCGCCGCCGCTCGTGCCTACGACACCGCCGTGTTTTACCTCCGTGGCCCTACAGCTCGTCTCAACTTCCCTGATTCAATCGGAGACGACGGTGATTTACATGATCTATCTTCCGCCTCCATCCGGAAGAAGGCGACGGAGGTCGGAGCTAAGGTGGACGCTCTCCAGAACCAAAACGGAGGAATCAATCATCACCACAACCACCAATCGCCGTCGTCGGAAAGACATTCGGGTCGGGTATGTTTAAACACGGACTTAAACGAGTACCCGAGTCCAGAATCTTCCGATGAAAATTAACGGCGAGATAACGACGAAGATTATTTGTTTATATGTGGATTGACGGCGTTAATTTCGGAGGGTCAGACTCGTCTTTTTCTTTTTTAAATATAATTTGGTGGGTGTAGGCGTGTAGCTTATCTTGGACGGAGAGATCAAAAATCCGAAGGGATTTTAAATGCTTCCTCATCTGGAAATATTGTTTTTATTTTCTTTTTAATTAAGTAAAAAAAGAAAATTCAGAAAATAATACTATGCACTTGTTTGCTCTAATACTTTTGCATATACATGTAACTAATGTAGTTTTAAATATCAACAAGATGATATAATACAATTATTTTCTTCGATATAATACAACGCTTGATTTTACCCATAAGATAATAAAATTTAGTTTCGTAAATAAAGTAAAGTTCAAAATTTCTTAGGTGTATCGATGATACGACTCTAGACTCTACAGCTAACCTGACTATGGTTGACCATTTTACCCTTCGTTTTTATTTGTAACCTGATAAAATTTTATTATCGTAAATTAGAAAAACTTATATTAGAATTTGGTGGTATGTAAAAGATACTATTTTATCATATAAAAGCATCAATTAACAGATAAATAATGTAATTTATATTATAGATGGTTTAAGTTTTACATATACTGAAGTTTAATTTTATTTTGGTATTAACGGGCAAATAATTTGATGTTCTTTATGTTGTAACTGGAGATGATATATAACTCATAATTACTCATTTTTATTCAAGTCTTGAGTGATATTTTTCTTTAAAGTTATAATTCCACATGTAATCATGTAAGCAGGACAAGTGTCTCCACGAACATCGTTGATCAGTATAGATGATACAAAATTTGTATTTTTGTTATTACTACTTTCATTTTAAAATAAGTGTCTATAATACTACTTTAGTTTGTTTTCTAATTTTAAAAATATGTAGTTAATATATTTTTTTAATTAAAAATCGAAAAACGTAAAGAAAAATGCCTAGTACTTCTACAAATAACAAAACCATCATAAAACAGGCTAATATGAAATCAAACTGACCTGGACTATACCAAACAAGGAACAAGAACAACTAAGAACCTAATACCGCTCATAGTATTACCACCAAGTTACCAGCGACCAAAATGACCCACGACTCTGATGGGGACATCGAAAAGGGCACAGTAAGCCAAAGGTCGTGCGAAATACAACCTTTCTGAATTTTTCTCGATATCTGGTTTGTATTCTTGCAAATAAAAGGTCTGCAGATGAAGTTTTATTCCAAAACTCGCTTGACTACGATGTTTCCATATTATATATGCTACAGACCACAATTAAATTTGTCAAGGTGATTTCAGTAAAGACAAAGATTGAGATCTATCGAGATGATTTAATTATACATCAACATCCTTATAAACAATAAAGATTGATCTCACATATATTCTACCAAAAATGGTAATGACTAATAAAAATAAAAAATAGGATAAAAAATATGTGAACCACAATACAAATCATAAATTTCTAAGTAAATTCACTAAAATAAAATATATATATAAAATGTAATATTATATGTCTTTTTAAATTAAAAAAAAAACTTGTTTATAAAAGTTGTACATATTTAATCAAATCAATAAAATCAGTTTAAAACTGAATAATGGAAAAAGGAAGTTCAAATATAATTGAGCAGAACCAAGGAGTTGTTTGGCAGGTTTTGGGTGGTTTGATGTAAGATGATTAAATGATTAGGATTATTAATAGACTTTTATGATACAGTACAAAATGAAATATGATTGTTTGATAATTGTTTAAAATGAAATTAGGGCGTTGAAATATTTAGGGAGATCCAATATACAAAATCGTTCAGATGATTTTAAAATAATTAAGAGACACTTTTTTTAATCAAATCAGTTTCACTTATTAGTAATTCAGATTTTGTCTTTTAATGAAACTATTAAAAGATAAACAAACATCTCAAGTTTTAAATCTTAATAAATTTAATGATAATTCACAAAATATAATTTAATCAATAAAAATTCCCAGCTCCAAACTGCTCCTCACCTCCCGACCCCATATATTTTTTAAAATACACCGCTATGGGGAATCATTCATATAAAAAATTGTGTATCTGGAGGTATTTGATTAAAGATATTATATAGTAATTAACGAAAATAAAAGTAAAAAAAAATTACTTGATTTTATATAATATGATGAGTTTATTCCCTTACGAACTTAAATTTTCATTCCAAATTAAAAATGGGATGTTTTTATTGCATGTCATTTTCACTTTCACTACACTGTCTGAACCAAACACCCTTTTAGTATTCATCCGTCTGAAGTAATTGTTTCCATATTTTTATTTATACTTATCCTAAAATAAATGTTTAGTATAAAAATAAATGACTAGAACTCAAAACCCACCCTTCATTAATGCATAAATATTTAAGAATTATGAGTAGATATAAAATAATTAAGGGTAGAATTGCCATTTCATTAACTAAAAAATGTAACGATTATGCATATCTAAAAATGTATGGAAATAAACCACAAAGGTGGTGTCTGATTAGTTTGAGCTTGACTCCAAAGGTCAAAAGTACATGGAGGTCCCAGGTTTAAATCCAAACAGGAATAAAAATCCCCTTTGTGGCTACGGAGGTTCAAATGCGGTGACTCCGGATTATTTGCAAAGCAGGTGGTTGTCCTGGGATTAGTCGGCTCGCATAGCAGGTTGGAAATCCAGGTTAATCAAAAAAAAATATGGAAATAAATGTGTTTAATGAGATTCATTATTATAAAATAATATCAGGGAATAAAACATGAAGTCGCTTTGGCCGAGTGGTTAAGGCGTGTGCCTGCTAAGTACATGGGGTTTCCCCGCGAGAGTTCGAATCTCTCAGGCGACGTTTTTCACTTTTATCAATTATTAATTTTTCTATTTGCATCTTTAGCCCCTTAGCTTTTGATTAAAAGCATTCCAGTCCCTATACATTATTTTTCTTTTCTTAAAAAAATGATGATATTTAATCTTGTTAAAATTAATGCCAAAACACACTAAGAAAATATAAATGGCTTTACTTTAAACTAAAAGTGAAAATAAAGATCGTTTCCAGTTATACCCTTTATGTTTGAATTACAGTAATTTTAATCATGTTTATAAATTATTAATTATACCTTAATTTAATAATTTATTGTGTCTTTTAACCGATGTTATTTACATTTTATGATTATTAATAAAATAAATAGTAAGCTTATATTGTATATTTATTGGCATCTCAGATTTCGGACATGGAATCTTTTAGCATAGATATGGGATGATGGTTTTCACGTTATAGAAAAGAAAGGTTAATGAAAGGATTCAGTAATGAGATTGTGGAACACGAACTGAAAGTAAGGGTGTGAAGGGAGCTCCCCACATGTAAGTAACAATGTGCAAAACCTGAATGGTCCAGAACACGAATAAAAAACGAGGAGTTTGTGCAAAATCCAAATGCCTGTTCAGGATATTTGGGTTTTATTTTTTGACCATCTGACATGTCCGAAGACCCAAAACATGCATATGAGTATATATATATATCTATATAGGGGCTGGTTCAAATACTAACCCAATATTTTGTGCAAACTATGCTAACCCATCTTAATCGTTCATTTTCTCATC